CTTCCTTTCTTAAAGGCTCTGCCATGCTCTTTTTGTTTCTCATCCTGGTGCCAGGGCAGGGGGCAGCCTCAGGATGCGGTTTTCTGCCTGTTTCCTCTCAGAGCAGCTGTTGTGGATTTGCCCTTTGTAATGGGTGCCATCTAGATGCCCTCACACCATGGGCTGCATATGCTCTATGTACTGTAATTCTATTGCAAAAATGAAGGGTTAAAATCCCTTTCCAAATGGACTTAGGAGCTGCCAGCCTTGGCTGCTGGCCTGTCAGGGTGCAATGCATCAGGAAGGGGAACATGGAACACAAATGCCAGTGTTTCCCTGCAGAAATCTCAGCAAGGTGAAACGTGCTTTTACAGTGGGAAATGAAGGTTATTTTTCTTCTGCCCTTATTTTTTTGTCCTGTAAACCCTATGCCAGTCATTTTGCATGCAGCCAGCTTTTGGGAAGCAGGAGGCTTTTGAAAGATGTTGGAAAATCTAGCTAATGATATAGTTGAGGACTCGAGTTCTGCGTCTTCAACACAAACCCTCTGGCAGTCCACAACTGGTTTCAGTGTCCTCTCTGAGTCAGTGAGCAGAACAGTTTGCTACAAACTAAAGGCCTGCCTTTGTGCTGCTGTTACTGCTGCTTTTCTTCTTCATGGCTTTTAGAACTGCTACAGCTTTGCAGCCCTGCACTGGGAAAAAACAAGATGTGTTGTGGAAAACACAATTCTCCTATAGACCAATACTCATCAAGCTGCAAGTGCGTGAAAATGAAAATGAAAATGCAATGTATGCAAAGATTGAACCTCGTTTATGAGACTGGCACTGCTAGTTCAGTGGGGATTTATTCTAAGCAAGAATTGATCTATTTTATTACAAAACATTAAGGTTATGCAACGAATTATAACTTTGTTTAATGATGTGCTTCTGTCTTATGTTAGTTTGCAAGTCTAACTGTGCACATGGCTGCGTCACAGAACAGGGAAAGCACTTGCTGTGTGTTGTAAATCATCAGCACATCTCTCTGGAGGTACTGTGGTCAAAGGGGTAGAGAAGAAGGCAGCAAATCAAGTGGTTGAGGTTTTATTCCTTCCATTGTCATTGAGCCAGTTTGGGTAAGTTATTTAACCTTCCCATGCCTCAGTTTTCTTATCTGCATAATGGGGATAGTATCACCTCCACATACATACATAGGTAATGCGCTTTGTATTGTGAGGCCAAAACCTGCTGTATATTAACTATGAGGTTTTTTGTTGTGTCTGTAATGTTACTATAACATCCTACTTCTTTTAGAACCATTTTTTTAAGGATGTTGGGAGCAGCCCTGTCTTAGGCTTTTTAGCTAGGTGACTTAAATCGAGATAGCAGAGTGCTGAAGGATACAAGTTTCTAACAAGCTAGTTTGTACTATTTGTGTTTGATTTCCATGTTTGAGCTACCTTGTATTAAAAATTTTAACTTGGGTGATACTTCCAGTCAATGAAAACATTCTGGTGCTTGCCCTTCCTCCAGAGAACAGTATTTTGTTGAATTTTAGAGTTGTATTCCATCACATTGAGTTCATTGAGCACAGACTTTCATTTGGGAGAGCCAGTCTCAGAAATACCACTTTCTGTTATCTCTATCCTACCACTGAGGTATCACAGTATCTTTTCCAACAGGCCAGAAACCACCACTTGAGTTTCTTGATGCGAAAGGCTCCTGGGGAACAAATCCAAGCAGCTGAGAGAACAGACTCTCTGGCCTCCACGCTAGTCAATTGGCAAATGAGAGATGAAAACTGATAAAGAACAAGGACAACAGTTAGCCAAGAGCTGAGGAACTGAAGGTGTCTCCTGCAAAAAGGAACAAGGCTAAGAAGGAGTCATTGTCATGTGGGACGGAAATGAACAGGCTCATGATAGAAAGGCTGAATTTCCAACAGGCTATATAGTGATATATAGATACTCACTTGCTGTTTCCTAGAGATGATGGAGGAAGGACAAATGACACATCCTGATCTGCTCTGCACTGAATTCATTCCAGGTGAACCAACATGTGACAGAGGTCAGAATCTGGACCACTCCATAATGTGTTTAGTCCCCTGAATAAAGCAGTAAAGCCAAACAACAAATGCACATATTCAGTCAACATTTCATGGGCATCCAGAGTTCCAGTATTTGTACATATCCTATTATCTGAACCCACATCTGTTCCAGGAATTGTAATAACATCACAAAGGGCTCTTTTATGCTGCCTGACCCCATGCATAATGCCCCAGAGCTGTGCATCATGAGGCTGCCAGCTGGCAAAAGGAATCAGAGGCATGCAGCAGCACCCATGAAGTGAAACTATATGTAACAGAGAATCAGGGTCCATGTAATCAGCAGTGAAGGGGAATATGGGAAGGGGGAGGGTGTTTTTGTAACAAAGCGAGAAAGTATTTTCTTCCCTGATTTTCTTGCATTTCCTATTTATACAAAGTATCTTGATCACTGTGTTGCTAAACAAGTTGATTTTAAACTGGGGGAAAGAGGAAACCTGCCCCCAGTGAAAGAGATGGTTACAGCTCCTTTTGACCACTTTTTCTGTATTGTCACTTGTGTGGAAATGTACAGAATAAAAGTGAAGAAGCGCATACCTTGGCTGGGCTGAGTTTCCTTGTGTTATTTGCCAGTGGAGCTGGGTCACTTTTTCTGGCAAAGTGAAAAGACTGGTGTGACTCAGAAGCTGAGAAGAGTTAGGGGGAGTGGAGCAAAGGGAAGCAAGGGTGAAGATTCTGCTTGCGTGTGTGTCACTGAAGGGGACAGATGGGAAGGGGGTGTTAAGCCTCTGGATAAGCTAACTTCAAGCTCATGGTAATGAAAAAGGTTAATGATACCCTTAATATTTCCAGGGAAGTCTTCTCAGTCCCTCAATAAACTCAGATTGTCAGCACAGCATTCAGTGCGTGCAAAATAGATATAGCAGAGATTATCAGGACTGTAATGTAGGCATATAGGTCACATCAGGGTCTTAATTATGCATCTCAGGGGCGTTTCTTGAGTGTACATTCTGATTCACCCCCAATTATCTTAGGTTCTCAGTTCAGCACTGGTTTAGACTAACCCAAAATCATATAATGACTCCATTTGATTCTGTCCAGCTGTGTGTGATTGAAGAAATTTCTGTCATGGCCATTGCTTGCTTTCTTGTCTTCAGCAGCTGCCCTCCCTGCTTCCCCGCCATTTACTGACACCAAGTTTTTGTGGTCTTTCTCCCATACAACTCAGTATTTCCTAACAGCCCCCTTGCCTCTGGTCTCTCATCTTGAAATTGAATTTCTGAATAATTTTGTGATGTTTCCTTTGCTCTGTCTCTCTGGGACAGCGCCTGCCACGAAAACACCTCCCTCACACATGGTTCTGGCTCCCTCCTCCATTCCAAGCCCTTTGATGCTTACCGCTGCTGCCCGCAGCCAGCTGTGTGCTTGTCTCTTTTAAGGAATATCTTAAGCCCCTTTTTCCGGCTGCCTCAGACAGCCTAAGTATATTATTATTAATAATAATAGTGCTAAAATGATGAACTGTTCTGCCTGTGAAGGACAAGATGGAGCTGGATTGAGGATGTAACCTAGGCATGACTTACACTGCACAGCAGAAAGCACTAGCAAGCATAGCTCTGACGTTCATAAGCACTGTGGTACAAAGCACTAACCCCTCTGGGGTCCTTCACAGTAACAAGCTGCTCCAAATGTCTGCCAGCTGCTCTCTGGAAATGCCTGTGGAGGAGATGTTTTTTGATGTGCTCAGAGCTGCTCTCACAGCAACATCTGGAGGTGTTCCACCACCTGCAGGCAGAGCCGCTGAGTGGTGCATTTAAAAAAATGAGAGTACAGCTTGATATCCTACCAATTTTGCACCCCAAATTCTTGGATGTGTGTGGCCTTGCACGTGCATGTAGTTCTGAAGAGAGTCCAACTGTTGCTTTGCTCATCCATAGTAATTTGCCCTTATTCCTCAGCATTTCAGCTGTGTTAGCTGCTTCAGGGCTTATTTCTAGCCAACTTAACAAACAAAAATATTTCATAACATTGGTGAAATGGATATATATACACACACATATATATAAGTATCTTTCCCACAGGCTAATGCTCTTTAGGTGGGGATTTCCCTTTTACATGCAACCTTTTTTTACATATGAAATGTAATAGCTTTTAATTGTTTCTTAAAAAAGCTACATCTTTCATAGTAAGAATGTAACGACAATGAAGACAAACAAAAAAAAGTCCCCAACAAACCAACCCCAAAGCCCAAAACATTTTTGGGAAGAAAAAAGAAAAAGAATCCTGAAATGAATCATTTGCTTTGAAAAACACCCCAAGCCCCTGCAGTTTCACTGCAGCCAAGTGACTTCAGTATTTCCCTGCAGTTAAAATTTGGTTCTCTCTCACAAGGGATCTTTTAAACTATGTAGCGATGCTTGTAAGAGATGTTGCCAAGGTTGTTAAGTTTAAAAATAGGTAAATATTGGAAGCAATCCCGTAATTTCAAGGTGTTGGGTCTTATATTTTCACGTTCAGGGGTTGATATTGATACATGAGTTTTATATTTGCAGCCATATTCATTCACAGCAGGCATTCCACAGGACAAGGAAAATGGCAAGGAAAAGAGCAGCTCCCTCTTTTCTTCTGCCCTGTCTGTCCATAATCTTAAGTGGCACTATGGATGTGTGAGTGTGTGTGTGTCTCTGTGTGTGTTTGTCAGGAACTGTTTTTATTGTGAATGTGAGTGAAGTACAAGTGTCAGCTGCATGGATCCTGCTGCTCTCATTCAATAAGGCAAGCAAACCTGCAGGTAGGAAGGTGAGCTGTGAGTCCCAAGAAACAGACAAATAAAGATTTTGTGTCCCATGGATATGAAATGAGAGCTACCTGCTGCAAGTTAAGCTCAGATGGATAATCTGTAGCATGATAGGAAGCCAGGTGAAGCACTGCCTGGTTAATAGCTGTAATCTGCTATTTTACCAGGGTGCTAACAAAAATCACTAGCACTGACTGTCAGAAGAACTGTTGACCGTGGTCTCATTTGTTCTACGTTTGTCATTAAAGCACCAAACGGTCTGGCAAGAAACTGCATAGGGTAATTCACTCTCATTCTAGAGGTTTCAGTTTTTAGGTGCAGTATTCTTCAGAATCTAGAGGAAAGCAAGAGGCTTCTCACCAAAGGGTGGGTGTAGATCAGCTCTGGTGGATGTTCTGTTATGCTGGATGAAAGGTGGAGGGTGCATACAAGTTTGTTGTTGTTGTCTGGTTGGGTTTTTTTAAGAGTTATATGAGAGTGAAGAAGAGATTTAAAAATGAAATAGTAAGATTAAAACAGTAGTTCTGAAAGGTATTTTGGGTCCTGAAGCCCCATCCAGCATGAATTACCATGAGTCAAACAAATCTGTTATGTCATTCAGGCTAGTGTTTGGTGTCTAGAATTTGGGGTGCTTGTTGCTGACATAATTAGCCAGCAGGCTGAGGACTCTGTTTCTGAGAAATAGGGTGTGATTACCTGCCTGCTTCTGTTAATGCATGTATGAATCACATAAATTTCTTTGCTGACAGAATTGATGATGTTCTAAAAAGCTCTGGTCTTTCTCACTCCATTTATGAATATACATTTATACTCCAGGGGTACCTGTGCTTTGCTAATGGGTCTCATTATCATCCCTGAAGTAGGTAGTATAGGGATGTAAGGCTCCATATAAATATAAGGGGTCATTATTCTGACTGTTCACTCTTTTTCCTTGTTTTTCCCTTCTTCCTTTTACCAAATGTATGCTAGAAGGACAGATATAATCAGCTGTGTCCAGTTGAATGATTGCAGAATAAGGGGTCATTGGATAACTAGCATTTTCTTGGTGTAACACAGCTATTAAAAGTTCTCCTTAGTCTTTCTTCTCACTTAAGGTTTTCCATATCAATATATATTTAATTTTCAGTTACATGCCATCTAATATTGCAGTGAGGGCCTGAAATTCTGCTTATATTCATGGACATGACCAGAATTAATGTTCTGGTAAACTAACAGTCAGCTTGTAGATTGAAGCTTGTAGTTCGAAATGTCCTGTAATACAAAACCATGTGAGCAGTACATCTGTAGCTGCATAAGCGAATGACTCCACAAGTCACCCTGAAATTCTTACACTGGATTTCCAGTCAAGCTGAATTGTACTTGTATTGTCCATCTCTAAAGTGACCTCCTCCTGGGACACCTGGTTCAACACTGGAGTGCTCTGCAGGTCATTTGGGCCCTTCTTTCACCCTTTGATAATGAAGGAGGTCCGATCCAAGCCAAAAGTTAAGCATCTGCATGTGTGGGGGAAAGAGCGTAAGGTCTAATTAGGATTATGAAAAACTCTTTGATTTAGAATATGAGTGCTCTCCAAGCTTTTCATGTTTAAGATTATTTCTTTTTTTTAATTATTTATTTCTTTTTTTTTTCTTTTTCTGTAATTTCTGTATTCTGATTTTGTAACGTTGGCAATACAGTATCTGGAATTTATATATATATTTTATATATATTTTTATATATAAATAAAAACCCAAACACTGATATTAATCTTTCCAGAAGATAAATTCACAAAGCCTTCTAAATTCCAGTCTTTTTCAGTATCTCAACTCAGTCATCCACAGAAAAAGACATCTGTAAAAATTACTATATGTATGTATAAGGTGAAGGGTCTAGAGTACAAGTCTTACAAAATGTGGCTGGAGAAACTGGAGTTGTTAAGTCTGGACAAAAGGAGGCTGAGGGGAGATCTTATCACTCTCCACAACTACCAGAAGGAGATTGCAGCGAGGTGGGTGTTGGTCTTTTCTTCCAGGTAACAAAACAAGAGGAAATGGCCTCAAGCTGTGCCAGGGGAGGTTTAGATGGGATATTAGGAAAAATTTCTTCCTAAAGAAGAAATTTCACGGAAAGGGTTGTGAAGCACTGAAACCAGCTGCCCAAGGAAGTCACCATCCCTGGAGGTATAGGTATGTGGAGTCACCATCGCTGGAGATATGTGGAGCATAGGGACATAGTTTAGTGGTGGCAGTGTTGAGTTTGTGGTTGATCTTTATGATCTTAAAGGTCTTTTCCAACCTAAATTATTCTATGAAGTCCTTGAATCCAAGGACTTGGGAATGGTGAATAAGTCAGGAACATCAGTGCAATTGGCCACTGTCAATTGTTTTTTCTACTTTTCTTGCTACTGGTGTCTTCAGGAGATGAAGCCTTTTGATGTTAGAAATTAACTTTATGCTTCCAGATTGTGATGCTTAGTTGTAATTGTCTCCGATAGGCACTTTTGTCTTTCTGAGACATATTGAACCTACCTGCTGCTGCTGCTTCACTCTATTTCTAACCATTATGAGAGGTTTTTTTGCAGCTCTTTGCTATGTATCCTCATTAAATCACAGAAACAATGCCAGCAAACAAAAGCAGGTGACTATGGGCTTCCTTCAGGCACACAGCAAGATATGTTTTTTCTACTCACATGGCAAAAAGCTCACTTTGGTTCTGCAGCCACAGCATTTAGTCAACACTTGATCGATAGTTTCACGGGAAGTGGAGATGGATGATACAAATTCAGTATATCCTCTGGTGGCTGTTTGCTCACAGGCAACTCATGCAACATCCTCTTCTGCTAAACACAGCAGACCTTACTTGCAGCGGCTAAGGCTTTTTGCTCATTTCCAAGTCTGCCACCACTGGGAGACTTGCTGAAAGCCTTTCTAAGTCAGAGAATCTCTAGTTGGTCTACCACAATTATCTTGGGGAGGCAAAGAAGGGGCTAGCTCTGACTGAGCAAGTGATTGCCTTCACGAATTGTCTTTGCTGTTCCTAGATATCTCACATCAGAAATAGGTTGAACTGCACCCCTGTTTAATGTGAGAGATGGGATATGGCTCCCCAACTGTACACAGATCTATGAGCCTGCTGAACCCAAGATGGGTGTGGGAGTCACCATGAGTAACATCCCACAAGAAGGCATTAGGAACTGTAGAAGGCTGTCTGAATCCCAACACTGTGGTTTGTGCAGATTTTCATGACAAACTTATCTATCTGCTTATTAAAACACACACTGAATTTCTATTGCAGGGAAATATAAACATAGGCTAATTTAGGTTGATGAGGACATCCGGTCCAGTCCCACAAACCATGTTCAACTTTGAAGTTAGTTCAGCGTGCTCAGGGTCAGATCCTTGTGTTTAGGACCATCATTTAGGTCTTATCAAGGTTTTCCTTGGGTTTATATACAAACAAAAAGAAAGGAACAGGTACTTGCTGTAAAGAACTGGGAACACAAATAGGCAAATGGACTGCTATTGCCCCCATTTTGGTAATCAGAGGTGACACAAAAGCTGTGTGACTTGTAGAATCAGGGGCTGAACACACTACAGCCAGCTAAAGGGAGGTTTCTTTCACTTACTCAAAGGCACCCAGGAAATGACTGCTAGAAAAAAAGAACAGACCTGCAAGTCACCTGGTTCCCACTATGTTAACTTCACATCTGGCAAATTTTACTGCACTATGTTTCTCCTATTGAATTTTCTAGTTTCTGCAGTCTCTCTTGTGCTGAAGATTTTTTCATGAACTTATGCACTTTGCTGGGAGTTGTTGGGGTTTTTTCTCCCCTGAAGCTAGAAGTTGCATCTCTATTGTGCAGAAAATATGAAACAGGTTTGTTCTCAAATTTGTTGGGCCTCTAAATGGAAACTGGGAGGAGAAGGAGGCGGCAGCCTGTAGCCTTACCACATTCTTTCCATGGATACACGTGACATTAGGCAAAAGTCTGATTCTGAGCCACTAAAAAAATAGCCGTGGAAATGTTTTCTCTTTTGTTTTTTTGTCCCTTCTAAAGCAAGCACAGTGTTGAAAAGCACTACAGAGCCCCATCTAAGCCTTATGTCCTCTGTTAGTCCATAGAATAAGACAGTTGCTTACCCAACGAGTTCAAATACCAGCATACTGGCCAAAACCAACAAGAAAATGGTTTTATCTCGGTGTGAAATAAGTGTAACAGTTAAAAAATGATCTGCTCCAGGGTACAGCTGTGTTCATGCTTACATAAATATGGCCATAGAAAAGCAGTGTGCTTGACTGGAAGGAGAAAATGTAATTTCCACACAAGCAGGTTATTCATTCATCATCTTCCTGCCACAAAGGTAGGAGGTGTAGATTCCTATGCAGGTGTCATGTTGTAAATACAGTTCAGCAACCTGAATCAGGCTTCAACCACCACTGTCTTTCAGTCATTTTCTTGTCATCATTTTCTTGCATAGTCATGATATAAAGGAGACTAATGAAGTCTGCTGTAGCCACAAGACAAAAGAGCAAGCTGTGCTACTGCTCTTTGCCATGGCCTGGGGGTGAGCACAATACATGGGCTGAAACTCTAGTGGCAGAGAGTGTGCAGTTCGTGTCCTACACATAAACACACAGAGGCAAGCTAGCATCCAGGGGCTTGAATTTAGACTCATTATTTATTTCACTTTTCAATTAAAAAAAAATGTAAATGCTGGATTTAACTTTTCTTCACCACCAGTTTTACCACCAGTCCACAGCAAGTAATAATATTGATGAAGCTTTTGGTTCTCAGAGAAAATGTGCTACAGCTATTTATAACAACTGCATAAAACTAATTATACTTAAAGCAGAGCTACTGTTCAAAGCCTTTTTTTCATTCACCTCAGCCTTTCAAACTCATCATATTGAAATAAATATGCCTATTCTTAGCTGTTGCTCTGAAGTATTAATTTAAAAAACAAATAAAACAAAAACCCCACCAGAAAGACCTGCTCTTCACCATAGAGAAACAAACTTTGAGCAGAAGAGACTATTTTAATCTGCCTTATATGCTAATTAAGCAAGTGTTTTTCAGAGGTCATAATGCAAAATTTTACATAAGAATGATGGTTCAAAATAGCAGTTCATTCTTCCCTCATGTCTAAAGTATTGATGAGATAAAGGAAACGACCTCCTCAAGATTTGGTTAATGACTTACAGTTACAAATGTTAGAGTTTTCACAGTGTTGGTCAAGTAATTCTGCACACAGGGAACAGGAAATCACTTTCCATTTTCTTTAATTTGTCTTCATTTTTTAGACAGCCTGAGCTTAACAGCAGTCTGTATTCTGAAGTGGTTCCAGATTCAATGCTCTTCCTCTTCTCAACTGTCCCAAACAGCAAAGCACCTGAACATTAAAATGGTAAGATTTGAATTTTGAAAAGTTGTAATCAAAGGAGAGTTCAAATCAATTACAGTTTTGTGACGTCTTGATGTTCAGTGAATCCACGTACCTGTGATCTTAAAGTTTTCTGAACACACTGCGATTGCAGCCTGCAACCCAATGGATTTAACTGTTGTGGGTTGGCTTTGGGTTGTTTTTTTTTTTTTTTTTTGGGGGGGGGGGGGGGGGTTGCTCTTTTTTGTGGGTTTTTGTTTTTTTTTTTCATTAATAACACTAAACCCAGCAAAATTTGCCTTAAACCTCTTTCCTAGAACAATTCTTTTAGCAAAGTGCTAAGTAATTTTTCTGACTCACTCATGCCGCTGGCTTACTTTGTCACTGGGGAAAATCATAGGTGAGAATAAGTGCCACAGTGAGAGGATTTTGAATGCGTGTCTGCCTACAGTCTGATTTGGGCATTCTTTACAAAATGAATCTGAGTATTAGACAGGCTGCGGGGGAAAATCCAGCTGTGAGGTTTCATACAGGATTGAATAAAAATATTATCCCTGTTAATAAACCCGGACTCCATGAATGATGACTTTTTCCTGGTCTGATCAGGTAGTGTATCAGTTTGCAGGGACTTTTCCCATCTTCACTTTTCAATTTCATGAATAAGAAAACCCATGCATGCTAAACAAGTTCATAAATTCCCAGCACTTCTTTCATCATCAGAACAACCAGGGAAAACCATATAAAGAGCATTGAATTACACTTGTGACCTGGTCCTATAACTATGCTTCAAAATTAGGTGTTTCTCATTTTTCTGACCAACACTGTAGGAACAATTTGAGACATAAAGGGAATATCATTTTACAACATTCCAAACCAATCTTTCAGTTGGAAAATGAATGGTACCTGTAAATGCTAGAGTAAAGACAAGCAATCCAACTAAGAAAGTGCTCCTCATTTCCTATTCCAGACAGCTGAAATAAAACAGATGTCACACGCATACAAAAAAGTTAATGAAAATCTAAAACATGTCACTAAAGAAAGATTTCAGACAACAGTAATGGCACAGGGTCATTGACTCATACAAACTCCTTCTTAAAGACTCATGTTTTCTAACTCCTGAAAAAATATCATGGAGGAAATGTAAATAGGCAAATTATATCAGGAGCATAAGCATTTTTGTTAAATATTGCAAACATTTCATTAAAAGTCATACTGCCTTTAGGCAGTTAACAGTGGTTCCTAACACAAATCTGGTATTGTTTCTGCTTTTGACTCTTTGAGGATGGTGCGATTTCTAGATATGCATTATTTACGCTGTCCTAATAGGATCTTATATTAGCATCATTTAGACAAAGAGAAGGATGCAGGTTATTTGGAGAGGGTAGGAAGAATACTGAAGAGGGTGGAGATGCATAGAGGGAAACAGAGCTCAATCTAGCTGTTTGGAAAGGTCTGCTTTGCAAAACCTTAGTGTTTAGACTGGATAATTGGAAAAGGGATAGCTTGCAAAGATAAAAAAGATTTTGATGAACTCTAAGTAGAAGTATATGCAATCTCACATAGTGTTGAAAAGCAAGTTGAAAAAATGGGAATATTGCTACTAAAGTACATGTTCATCTATCCTCTTAGGTTCTGTGAGCCTGTTAATATACTTTGAAAAATATCGGCATACACTAATTAGCTTTAATACTAAAATTAGGATGAAAGAGACCGTAGACCTTAGCTAGGATTGCGTTCCTTTGTTTTAAACATTGAATATATAACACTAAAAGAACACAGGATCTTCAAAAGAAGTAAAGTTCCTGATGGATCTCAGAAGACAGAGACCCTGCTGCTTATTCATTTCTCAATAGAAATAAAAATTCCAAAAGGAAAAAAAAAAAAAAAAAGCTGTAGATTGTACAGAGTTACCCTGATTGTTCCTGTTCTTCAAAGTAAAATCAAGTATGTTTGATCACATACTCCTGCTTTTAAAATCTCCATAATTTCACTTTAAAAATGAATGCTATAGACAAAATCATTATCATCAATATCTATAGTGGTTTTGTTAAAATGACCCTAAAATTAGGAATGTTTGAGTCATGTCAGAATTTATTCTGTATGGGAAGACACTTTCCCCCTTCAAATTCCTGATGTGAAGCAAGAACCACTGAAGTGAAGAATGTGTTGGAGAAGAAAAAAAAGTAAACAACATACAATGTAAGTACAGCTTTTTTTCTTAAGTCTTTCTTACTATATTGACAGTTCCAAGAGTTAAAAAATATAAAAAAAATCTCATGAGACAGGCTCCATATTTTAAACATTCATATATGTTTTATGCATTATAATGTATAAGTTTATGTTATAGAGTTTAACAAATATTCTGAATATTTTTATTAGCTTTGGATTTTTTAATAGCACATTTTTATTCTGAGACTTTCCTATCAAAAAGTGGGAGTGGAAGAGTCAGTACTTTCTCCCCATTATTTGCTTGCTCAGTTTTTGCTATTGAAAACTGCGTGTCTAATGCAATCACATAATGTTGGGAATGAGATCTTTGGGCAGAAACTCCTATCATTGAGCAAGAAGTGCTAGCATTGCCCATACTAGTGCCCATACTTCAGCGTCAGTATGAAATCATTAATGTGGATGTTAAAAGATTTTAAAGGGTTTTAACATGTTTTGTTTTTTTTTTAATAACACCCAGTCCAGGTCTAGGTTTGCAAATGTTGATGCCATGTTTTGTTAAACTCCTGAGCATGAAAACCTAGATCAAGCTGACATTGAACCCAACAGCATCCCTCAGGAGTTTCCATCAAAGATGTATTGTGAAGGCCATGCAACTGGCTCAAATCTCAGGCAAGAAATTGCCAGTAAGTTAAGAACAGATGTACCTAACTTTGTTCTTATGGGGGGAAAATCGTGGCCATTACATTAACTAATGAGGCATTGCACATGAGCAGGTTATAGCTGGTCATCTTCCAGTTCCTATGTTTCCAACAACAGACCTTTATGTTGGTGTGTCTATGTCTATATCTATACATGATGTATCTCCTAAATTTTACATGCCATGGTTATTTGTAAAAATGATATCAGGGAAAGGGTACTACTTAGCCTTAATACAATTTCACTTTTATTTTATTCTCTTGTGAAAGTATCTCCCTAGTAAACTACCACCTGAAGATCTGTGGAAAAGCCAGCAATGAAATAGTCTCAATAATGGTATTTTGGAATGTGTTTGACAATCACTTGTCAATATTATATTCCCATTGTTCCTTTTATTGCTATGATTTAACTAAAATTCATAATCAACGATTTAGTTGTCCTGCATTTGCATTAAAGGAGAACACCTCATCATTTTATTGCACATAAGGAAAACTTGTCAAAACCACTTATATTTTTCTTTAAATGTGAAGTTTAGCATCATTATAACTACACAGGTGAACCCTTTACAAATTGTCAACCCAATAATTTGATTAAAAAAATACATCATCTTGATAAGTGGAATTTCTTTGTTCATACACTCAATTCAGAGTTGTGCTGATTGCATCACACTGTGGATGCAGAGACTGTCCTAATAGTAGTTTATACTACTAGTAATTAATTAATAGTAGTTTTAGACTGTTCCCCACAATAGCAGTAATTCATTCTTAAGGGAGTATATTAAGAAATATTCCTTTAATTATATAAGCATCATTAGAATGAAAAGTACTCGTTAGGTATTTCAAAATGTGATTACCATAGTTTTACTTTGAACTAGGAAATAGTAGTATGTCATGTTTCTGCTCTAGGTAAATGACGAGAATGCTTTTCATTTTCTAATCACTTGCCTGCTATGTAGTTAGTTCCTCAAACCTGTTATTCCTGGCTTGTCACTACCATTTCAGTTCAGTGCCTAGTTCTACTTAGTACTGTGACTGATACTAGAAGACTGTCTTGAGTATCAAGAACTGATTCGGAGGGATTATAAGTACTACCTTCTCTATTTTTATTCCAGTCCTTTCACAGAGTAATTAGGCATGTGGGTATATAGTGCCTTTAGAAAAAATAGCTATTAGTAAATCAGGTTCTTCCTGAGGGAAACTGAAAAGGAAACTTGCATTCTATTTGTTCAGTAATTTTCTGCTAGAAGTTTGAAACCAAATAATAAACCCATCAATTTTACTGGTTCTGTTTCAAGGAAGAACATTTTCTTTCTTCCTGCATGTTGCTTTGATTTTTACAAAGAAATAGGTAATGACAAAACCCCAGAAAATAGAGCAGAAATGGTAGCTGTTGCTCAGCCCTTCAAAATAAAACGCCGTTTTGTTTTACTTTACACTGCTCCCCAAACTAAAACTAGAGTGAAATGAAATGTTTGTTTATATAGAAAAGAGCAATAATGTACTCAAAGCAACAATTTTTGTACCATAGCTAAGACATATATTTTTTTTAATGCAATAGACTTGAAATCCTAGGTGGGGCAGACTTCCATCCTCAAGATTGCCTGCACAAAAGAAAAAAAAGAGTGAGAAAAGCCAAAGTACAAACAGCAGTCTTTTAAATGCTGAGGACCTGGAAAGGCCTGCTGTGTCACATTATATTTGTGGATTTCAAACTGCAATATGCAGATGTATGCACATGAATAATTTTGAGCACAGAAGCTTTAATCCCCTTGCACAAAATAGAAGCAGTCAAATGTGTAAAGTTACAACATGTGTTCACGGTTTGGTGACTAAAGCTTAAGACCAAGTTCTGGGACACTGACTTTGTTTTCAAATATCTTAAGTTTTTATCATATGTGCATGAAAAAATAACTCTTCTGGTTTCATGCTCTCTGTTTGCCTTCTTCTACAGACATCTGGGAAATCTGTTTTTTTATATACTCGATTATTTTAATACTAGAAAGCAAGATATGAATTACTGTTTTTTAAATCCATAATTTTTCTACTCTAATTATACAATTGATATTCTTTGTGACAATATGCCTGCCATTTTGTGGACTTTAAATGAAAGATAGATAGAGTGAGAAGGTACACATCTCAGAAGTAGTTGATTTCAATCTTTGATGCATTCACTAAATAATTCAGGATCACTAATGGAAATCTGATCTTACCACAGGAGTGGGGATGAGGGGCACTCAGTTGTCAGGGTCTGCAGCTCAATGGTTAGGGAACAACAGTGGAGCAAAAGGTGAAAAAAATCTGTAAACTACCGTTGAATTCTCTTCTTTTCTAGAATCACATTACATCTTCCTGGAGCTGCTGTTGCTGATTGTTAGGGAGGGCAAGCGAAAGAAATTGGTACTTACAGTGTATCTGAAACAAACAAGCAGGCTCAGCTCAAGGTGACCTCTTAAATGGTGTACATGAGGTGGTGGTTGCTTTTTGAAAAGTAGAGCATCATTCTGCTAGGCAGTGGGACTGAAAACAGTGAAGTGCTTCTCAGGAGCAAACTGTGTCATGTGTTCTCTGTCTTTGTAGTCTGAGCTTTAGAGTCGGAATTTTTCAAGGGTGTCTTTGGAAAAAAGTGCAAACCCCTTTTAGAAGCTGATGAGGTCCAAGTAACTATCTATCATCTCCTTCACATGCTTGTGAAATGATTACCTAAAACTACTAAAAAACCCATCTTCAAAGGGAAAATTTGGTGTTCAGGTCTTTTCAAAGGAAAAAGAAAGCCAAAACTCATTGACAGGAAATTTATTATGGGCAGCTTTCTACATTTTGGCACAAACTGTATCTAATGGTGAGAGGTTCTTTCCCCCAGATTGCCTTGAGCATTTACTGACTGAACCAGAATTCTAATTGTGATCTAGTATTTTTGGATTGTTTATGAGAGCATTTGCATGTAGCATTAATGAGAAATCCGTTTATAACTCCTTACAGTACTAACCTTAACTTTTACTTTTCAAAAGAAAATTCAGCCCTGTTTCTCTCTTTCATTAGGTTGCCAATATTTGTTTCAGGTAGCAAAGAGGATACATGAAACTAGAAATCGGACTTCTACAGCTGCCAGTCCATCCATTCCTCACCTCTGATTTTTGATCAGGGTGGAACCAGCAGCTGTAAACAAATGTTGAGGATTTTAATTGTGTCACTGGCACTCTCTAAGCAAATTCTCCTTTCTAAGTTAGCTGCGTGTCCAGACTAGAAAGGTAATAGTCCAAACGTATTTTTTCAGTATGGATTTTTCTATATGTTATAAGAAATGTAGATTAGGCTTAGTTCCAGAGATCAGGTAGGAAATGAAATAAAGCACTGGCTGGAAAACTGGAGAGACAAACCAGCAGAGAGTTTCTGTAGATAAGCCTCTCCAATTTCATAGTTCTTTTAATAAAAACTGTGTTTTTATTTATTTATGTTATATTTTAAAATATTCCTGTGGCAAGTAAATGGTCATAGCATATCTTTCTTCCATCCCTTTTCTCTATGCTGTCCTGTTCTTTCCAATTGGGAACCAGCACAATAGGCACATTTAGGAGTGGTTAATAAATAGTTGATGACTCTTTCTTGGCAACTGAAGTTACATTGGTCCTCCCAAGATTGCTGTATTCACCGTCTCACCTCCTTCTATGTCTTTATGAGTTCTATCTCAATAGCAAAGATTCAGTCAAGAAATTCAAGTGTCATACTCCATTAATATCAAAGTATCAAAAGCATCAAACACAGTAGGCAATTTGGGGAAAAGAATATTTTTGGTATTTGTACAGTGCTTACTGTAATGGAAACCTCACGTTAAGCTTCAAGGTTCCATTAAGACAGATAATATTAACATTGCAACACATTTAATTTTTGGCAATTGAAAACTGATATACTTTCTTTTCCAGTTATAGGTGCTTCAGACCATAATCTGCCCTCTAAATAGGTGTATTAACCTCGTCTACAGTTTTATTTTGAACTTTCTGCATCAAAACCCAAGTCGCGTCAACAAAAGTAGTCCTGGGCATGTAAATTCAGTTCCAGGAAATTGATTTTAGAAAAAGTAGGTATGGGTAAAAGCTGTGAGTAAATTTGGTCAAAGACTGTCTGTTGACATATTGCTTCTAAAATCTAGTGGACAAATGAGGCTTCTAATATCATGCGTATCTTTGCAAAAAGCAGTTTCTTTCTGCAGAAAGTTCCCATTGTTTTCTGGAAAGCTGAAAATCTGTTTTTTGTTGTTTTAGCTAAGATTCAGATTTCTGTAAGGAAAGGAAGAGATCTCTTGACCCACTTTGGTGCAACCTGTTTTGGTTTCAATCAAGGTGAACTTGGAGATCAGTCTTTGTCCTCTTTCCTACTTCTTTGTTACTTAGACATGATGGACCATCCAAAATGCGCTATTGTGGTTGTTACGGAGAAGCTCTGAGGGCTTTAAGTGTCAACCACTACCAGGTATTTTTTGATGGAAAATGTCTTTCTCTAGATGTTTGTGGTGCTTAGAACTGTGATACTAGCATTATATTGAGAAGCCCTCAGGAAGATGCAACCTAGCTATCAAGGACCCATTCAGCTTTGCACACTCTGAAACACGAAGACGACGTTTACTATTGAGTGTTCATTTCCACTCATCCAGCTGCTGGAAAGGATATTCTCTCCATCTCAAGCCCTCACTTTACACTGCAAATCAAAGTTGTTGTTTTAAATTACATCACTTGTCATTAAATCTGCCAGTGGTGCAAATCCTGAACAGCCATGCCAGGACTAAACACATAACTGTGTGATGAAAAGAAGATGCCAAGGTGTGGATGGAAGGGAGTAGTTTACTAAGAAAGACTCCAGGTGAGTGCAATTGCCCACTCTGGGACTAGCCGCACAGTGCTTTTCATTGTCACAGATGTTAGGTGTTAGATGATGCAATGTGTACAGTGCCAGACAAATTACTTTTTAGCTCATTCCTCAGGAAACAGGAGAAGAATCTGAAATGGATTTCTGTATAAACCTGGAGCAGGAGCTACAAACCCAGCTGAGACCCAAGCAGTCAATGGGCCCACTCTTCCACATCAAGGCAGAGATTTGCCCTGAGGATTGGGAATTACACAGAAATTGCCTGGAGTTTGGAACAAGTCCACTTAGCTTTAAATTAAGCTGTGGATTGGGGAACACTCTTATTCAATGGATGTAATGAGCCCAAAAGTTGGAAAAGCCTGCTGTTGAATGAAAGCCTTGAGTTAACTCCAGCAACCATTACAACCAGGAGTGTTGGAATGCCATTGCAAAAGTTGTTCTTACAGCACTTTTAGCCCAAGTTGAAATTAAAAGCTGGTTTTCTTCTCTTTTCTCTTTTCTAATCTTCTTTTTTTTCGTGGGGGGTTTCCCTCCCAGCAGCATTTCCAGCCCAGCACTACCACGATTCAAGTAGCAAGCTGGAAGCCATCAAGGCTAAACTTAAAAGCTCCCCAAACTCCCAACAGCCAAAGGCTGCCCAAGCAAAAGCTACGGATATTTGTGCCCGGAAAAGAGCTGAACCCCCTGCGAGCCCCCGCATCGGCAGTGAGGTGCCCCTCCCGCCCTCGGTATCCCACTCAGTGGCCGGGGGGTGCCGTGAGGAAGAGAAGAAGTTGCCCGCGCTGAGACGGTCGGTACCGGCCCAGGGACCAGTCCAGCAGCAGCCGGGGTCGCTCGGTAGCTCCCTCGCTCCCTCACTCCCTCCCTCGGCAGCAGGCGCACGCGAAGCTGCCTCCGAGCCCTGTCCCGTCCCCTCCCACCCTCCTGCCCCCCCCCCCCCCAGCCCCCGGCGCCGGGGGCGAGGCTGCCCCGTGGGTGACCCGCCCGGCGGGCGCGGCCCATCCGCATCACACGAGGGGGAAGCGCGGCCGCTCGCTCTGCCCCGGCGCCCGCCTGACTCCCTCCACTTGCCGCCGCGCTGCAGCCCGGGCTCTGCTGAATCAAAGCGCGGATCAGGTTCCCTGCCTCCAGTATAAAAATCTCGGCGAGAAATCTCCGCCTGGAGAGAGACGGGGCACGGCAGGAGCGGGGCTTGAGGCGGCGGCGGCGGCCGGCGAGGCGAGCCCGTCCGTGGGGAAGCGAAGGGACGCGCTTCGGCGGCGGTAGCAGCAGCAGCCGGGGCTCAGCGAGGACGCCCGCGGCTTACCCCTCTCAGCTGCGGTAGAAGAGCTTTCTGCCGCCCGAAGTAAGTCCGAAAGGGCGGTGGGGCTCCCGGGGTCCACTCGAGGGGTGGTGCCCCTCGCGCTCACTCGCCCCCCTGGGATAACGGTGGGAAGGGGGAACCGCTTCCTTGCCCGGCTCCGGGAGGCTTATCCCAAAGGGGGATCCGCAGCCCCGATCCCACCTCGCTGCCCGGCGGGTGTCGGGGGCAGGGGCTGTGGGGTTGTGTGGGAGCCCGGACCCGGTGGGGTGGCTGGGGGCATCTGAGGATCCGGAGACACCTGAGGACCGGGGGGCAGGCGGGGTGCGAGGTCTGGGGTGCCCGGGAGCGGGGTAGAGGCGGTGGGTCGGTAAGTGGGACCGTTGAAAAGCTAGGGTAGGGAGGAGGGAGGTGGTGGTGGGGGACGAGACCCAGCGGGGAAGGGAGGCAGGAGTCCTCGGTCTGGTCCCTTTCGCGAGGACAAAAGGGCGGTGGAGTGACACCATAGTCGGCAAGCCCCCTGCGGAGCCGGGCTGCCCCGTGCCAGGAATGTCCCGGCTGAGCCTCGGGATAATGAGGTTAAATTGCACCCTCGGACCGAGCACTTCAACTGGTATTTTTCTTGGGACTTTGTTTTCTTATCCGTAGTTCACTTCTGGTGGAACAACTGAATATAGCAAGTGCCTATAGATCTATTTAAAACAGCCGTCGTTAGTTTGTGTCTTCCATCTCTGGAGGGACAGGTTGGGAGAAAATCTGGGCCAACAACAGTGAAAACACAGTTTCCTCCTGTTGAGCATGCACATTATTCTGCAAATGTGTTATGGTCTCAAACTAACTCCATATCCTCCTTCATTTTCTCCTTTTTGAAAGTACAGCTTTTTATAAGTGGAAGGTAGTCTTCGCTCTTTGGGAGCTGCCGGCTCCTTTTGCGTGTTCTAGTGGGCTGTCGCACCCTTCTCTCCTGCAGAGTGCAGGTGATTTGCCTCGACGGTGAACATATGCTGTGCATTAGCTTGGTGATCCACTCTGAAGCTGGGTTCTAGGATGTAAACCCTGGAGGCTAGTTGGGTCTTGGGAGCGTTGTAGAAACGTTTGCAACAAGCATTAAATCTTTCTCTCTGAAATAACCTTGTAGCTGTGGACAGTGGTGGGTGTTTTAACTAGATCCCGTTTGCTGTCAAGGACTTGTATTACAGTGGAAGAACACTTTACCTGTGGCTTATCAACTCTTGAACTCTCTGTCTGTTCCTTGTTTCCCCTTTGGGCCTTGATTTGGTTTTGAGCTTTTAGCAAAGTTCAGCTTTTTGGACAAGAAACAGACTGTGTAACTGCTTCTATCAGGGAAAAGGAGGGAAGGGAGAGATAAAGAGAGAAGGGAAGGAAAAGTTTTGATAAAAAAATAGCCGTTGTTTACATTTTCTTGATCTGATTTACAAAGCAAATTTATTTTTTTTTCCTCCTGTGTATTTCTGTTTCCTCTCTGCAAAGAAATAAGAATTAAAAACAAACAACCCCCCACCCAAAAAAAGAAAAAAAAGCCCAACAAACAAAAACCCTTGCACTTGGGATCCAGAGAAGTGGTTCAAAGGGAGCCTGCATATTCGTGACAAAATTGGTTAATTTGCTGTAGTGATGAATACTGCCAAATGAATACCCCCCCCCCAAAAAAAAAAAAAGTGCTGCATAATTTAGTGATTCTTTGTAAAGAGAAAGAAGGCAGGAATTTCGTATAGTCTTGTCTCGAGGTGAGCTGAACTGTTTGGCTTATTATGAAGCTTTGGATGAAATCGAAGGATAGAAATTTACTGAATGTAGTGTGCACCAGAGTAAGCTCTTGGGTGGAAAAAAGAGAAGCCAGCAAGAAATAGTTCATTTACAAATGGTAAGTCTTTGTTTATGGTGTAGAAGTGGCATAAGAAAAACAGACTTTTTGCAATTATCCAGATGTCTATCACCAGTTATTTGAGATGCAGCCTGTGGCTGGTAGATCCTTGCCAGCAGAAGGTTGGTCTTACTATAGTATCACAAATCGTAGTGCTGTTATCCCAGTGCCATATGCCTGTATTTGTCTGCACCCGTACTGACACTTTGGACGCTTTGGAGGCTTATCATATTGTCACAGCTATACTGATGGATATTTTGTGTAGATTCATCTTTCTGTCCCTAATGTGAATATTATTACTTAGCTGACTTCTAGCACTTAACAGCTCCTGCAAGGTACTTGCCTGACACATCCCATGTTTCTTCTTGATCATTCTGGGAATGGTTGTTCTGGAATCATCAGATAACAGTTAAAGCCAGTACTTTACAGGAACTCTGAAAATGCATTTATTTAACTCATGCTCTATTTTAGTGTGCTTTTGTGGGAGGGAAGGTATGATTTATGAAGTGTTATGGTGTAACAAGTGTTTTAGTGTAAGAGTAGGGCATTAGTGATGGAGCTGGCATTGCTCATGAAATCTGCTCTGTTTGGGCCCCCTTATTACCTACACTCCCAACAGCAATGTTTTCTGTGGGAACTGGTCTTTAACAATGTACACTTTGCTTCAATATTTACAACCTCTTGCTGATCACTGTATCAAAGGCATTTTCATTTAGAGGATTCATTTCAGGACTTTAATTGGGGAGATCTCTTTGTTTCAGGCCTCTGTAATAAACCATTCAAATGCTGTCTTTGAACGAAGTAGGTCACTGTAACGCGCGCACACACAGAGTGGTTCTCTTCTGCTTAGGGTAGCTGCATTTGGTTGAGCCATATCCCTGGTGAGCTTGTCCCTGATTTATCCTTCTTGGACTGGCTTGTTCACAGGGAGCTTATGCTGAAAATTCACTGCTGGAGGTCATTCTCCATTCTTGGCATCTCTGGCAGCCTTAAGCTTAAATTGCAGTCTCATTTTCTATCCAATCAATACCACTCTTATGTCACTGAGTTTCCATGGTGCCCCCAATCTTCTGTCTACATATTGATGTCTGACAGCAGGAATAGCATTCTGTGTTGCTATATATACTTACTAAACCTGTCAAAACTATTTAGGCTCTGTCGCACTAATTTATATCCATATCCTGATATTATTTGTATCTGTTGAGCTTTGACTGATGGAACTTGCTGCACTAAGGAATCGGCCTCAACAATGCACTCCAGGGATGGCTCAAGGAATGGACATTTTGAGAAAGGGAAAAAGACTCTCTTCTGGAGTAGCTGGGGTAGTCTAGAATCCTTTGAGCACAATAGAGTCGTTTTGAAAACATCCAAGTCTCAATGGCTCTAAGTTAATGCTTTGGAAATCATTCTCCATTGTGTTGCTCTGAATGCATCGCGGGTCCTCTCCGATGGAGCTGTGGAGAGGAAAATAGAAAAGTGGGCATTGTCGAGTGTTCAATGTGTGTTTGAGGAGTTTTGAGGGAAATTTAAGTCAATTGTCTCAGATTAATTTCTTCAGCAGAAGCAGTGTGGAAAAATGAAATTAAAGGAGCAAGCAATCTCTTCTCTGTGTTTTACTACCATAAACCATAGAGCACTGTAGTTGTGTAAGAAATGGTATGGTTGAGTCTTTGTGGATTGACACAGCATCAACTAAATAAGATGTGAAAAGGCATATCTTTTGCATGTCATTAACTTCCAAGGGACTGATACCTGTTACTTGTGCCAACAGTAATAGACATTAAATAAAGAGCAGTATTTTTTTTTAATGATTTAAATTTGCTTTGCGAACCATTGATCTTGTATCAAAGAGAGGTGGTCGTCAGCTGGAGAAACACTTTAATCCCACTAACTTTAACATGAGCTTGATCCAGCCCATGAAATAAAAATTGGCAGTCAGTATGGAATTTGCTGCTTAAAATTTTGTTGGCTCTGAGTTGCCAGAAGACCTGATTTTGTGATGCCAAGTTCATTAATACTTTTCAGACTCTCTTCAGGCTCCTACAGTCTTTCCACTAGTGAAAAGTAAGGACCTTTGAGACTTAAAAGGCCCTGCTGGAGGTTGTGTTTCACGTAGGGTATTGAAGTAGTTCAGTTTGTTGTGTTTTCAGCAATGGCTTACCTTATCATGGTAGAAAAGGTCAGTGGGACTTTACCAGACTAGACACTCTCTTGGCCAGTATTTTATTCCAAGGAATAGAATCACTGAACTGTTTAAAATATCTGATTCTGCCTCCTGCAATGGCACCCTGATGATTTCATTTTAAACTTTTCTAATTCCCTTCCTTGCTTACATATGTGGGAGTGACTTTTTAAAAACTGTAGTCATCTTTCAGAATGTTTTTTAATATCTTTCAGACCAAAGGTTCAGAGAACACAGCTGTAGGCAGTTTCATGGAGATGAGAAGGGGGAATGTGAATATAATAAAGAGCTACATATATTACTGATGCAGCCAGGTGATTTCCACCCCCCTGCATCCCTCCACTCCAAAAATCTCTGCCCTTCCTTGCCTTCTCAGAATAGCAGATTCTGGTTTCAATGTGGGTAACTTCTGGAGGTGAGGCAATTCCAGTTTCATTATATTAAGATAAATGTATTAATATGTTAATCTAGGCTCTAGGAACACATTGCTTGGCAAGTGCCATTGATTACATGGCAGCTGCAACAGCAGGGGTAAAGGCTTTTAGAGCGGAAGAGCATTACAGGGGTTGGGCATTTTCTGATAAAACAATCTCTGAAAATAGTGTTTGGAGCTCCAGTCCAGTGCCATTTATTAAACTGCAAAGTTCAATTTTGAACTGGACCTTTCTATTCTGAGGCCTGCCAGCACCATTTCAGAGTTCATTAAGTATTTCACAGGAGTGTTATAAAAATATTCCTTCCTCATTAGTTTCTATGGAATTCCAGTGTAGCTTGGACCTTGTAAACATTTCCTATTCAGTTGCAGATGAAATCATTATCAAGCGCCCATGGGGAGTGAAGAGAAAGAGAAATTCTCTAATACCTCAGTCTAAATGCTTGTTTTGAGACTGGTCCACAGCTAGCTAGCAAGTGTAAGTGAAATAGAATTTTTTCATCTTAAAAGAAAGAAAGGGATGGGCTCTTTCCTTCAGAAAGCAT